AACCATTTATAATATAACGTGTATAACAGGAGAGCAAATAGGGTCAGGTAATGTAATTACTCGGTAACAAACAGTTATGGGTTCTTATATTCTGTGTATTAAGCCTTGAAATATTAAAGAAAGTAATTTGTTGACCACTTAAAAATTTGTTTTTAATCACTTATGGATAATCTGGTTCATACTTGAAGAATCTGTCCAGCCTTTTATAATTCAAAGGAGGACTTTATTTAACATCAAGTTTTATTGGTTGTTTTATAGAATAAACGTACAAATAGTTTTCGACAATTTTATATGGATCTACGATTCTTAGAATCAAATGTGCGTGTACTTTGAATGAATTCTTTATTTTTCCTTAAAACAAGAAAAGCCCATGAAATATTAATATTTGATATATTTTTTCACGTTAAGCCAATAAGATATAGATAATATCGACGGCTCTTCCAACGTTTGATCTTGAAAAGTTATTGAATAGTTGAAAATAAAAATAAGCCTTAGTTAACTTAAGCTTATTTCAACTCTTTATCAGTTATTTATATGAAGTTTGAATTTAAACGCGACAATTTCAACTTTGCTTAGGTGTAACACTAATAATTTCACCTGCCTCCACATTTTAAACATTCGGACAAAAGAAACAGCTTTGTATGAATCTGACCCAGTTTTCTGCAACTTGTTTAATTTCACAAACTGTCCCGACTAAATCCTTGCCATAATAATAAACAAAATGATGTAATTTAATTATTCTACAAAATCTTTTTGACAAACTACGTGAAAAACCTCTAAATTTGAAACAGAAAGTATTGTTGCTCGTTAAGGCACATTTAGCGATACATTTTTCCATGAGATAGGATACGGTGTATAGGAATTAAATTCATTCGGAAGAGAAATGAGATTAGAGCTACTTTGTAAATAGTTTGACTTTAAAATACCATGTCTCTTCATGACGCAGGCGTAGATGACCGCAATAAACAGCCTCTCTTTCTTGATGATCTGTGAATTGCCATGACGTCTCACAAAAGATACTGTTTTTCAGTTCGGAATTGACTGTTTTACTGCTTTTCCAAGAAGCTCTGCTATTTAACACGTTTGCTGGTGGCGGAAGATTACTCGTTTTCCATTTTACTCTCCTTAAATGTTGTTCTTTTTTTATACTTGAAGAAAATGTTCCTCTTCTTTCTCATTGGTTTTGTTTAGATTTGTCTTTATTTACAACAGCCAAAGCCTATGAAATAAAAAAAAAGAAAAAACTTTCTGAAATGTCTCGAGTCTGTCGAGGACGTAGGCTATAATCACTCTTCATGGTCATCTTTTCTTTATTGTTTGTGAATTGACATGAATTCTTGGAAAGGATTGTGCAGTGGTTTCCTGTTGTCTTTTCACGGTTTGGATATTTTTTTCTTTGTCTTGGAATCCAGTCTCTGCTTTTTAAACGCTACATAAGCTAGAAGAAGAAACACGGACAAAGATAAAAGCAACACTGTAGAAAGGAATTTGAACTTTACACATTTGATAAATTTTGTTATATTCCATTCTTTAGTTGAACATATACACTCTACAAGCCTTCTTCTTCTTCTTCTTCTTCTTCTTATTATTATTATTATTGGTATTAGTACTTGTAGTAATAGTAGTAGTAGTAGTAGTATGAGCAGGAGTAGAAAGATTAGTATTTGATGTAGTCGTTTAGTAAGTTCAGTAGTAATGATAGTAATGATAATAAATACAACCGTAGAGATAAAAATCCTGAAAATGTTATTTTTAAAACTTCTTCATGTTCAAAATTGCTTTATTTAATAACGAGCACATCTTATGCCTTTAAAAATAAGGAAACAAATCATACTCGTATATGTAAATATAATTCTAACTGAAAGATTAGTATAGATCTTTCTTAACCTTACGCCGAAACGGTTTTGATAAAAGTGTCAAGTGCTCCCAATAAATTTATTGTCAAAATTATTCAATTGCCAGCCGTTCTACGTGCATGTTATATTCACAGCAGACACATAATTACAGTTAATATTTCCGACAGTATTTACTTTGTTTTTATTGTAAGTTGTTATTTCTATATTCATTGGTATGTAGATAAACTACATCTGGCAGCAAGGCCTCTGATTGGCATATTGAATGTTTTGAAGAGAGGGGAACCACCTCTTCATTGCTGGTAGTACTTGTTAGGATTCCATCTATGGGCAAATACTGAACCCCCAAAACAAAAGCAAAAGACTATGAAAGTATAAAAACGCATTGTTATAATTAAAATCCCAGCAATACATATTTATATATTAAAAAAAAAACAACAACAACAATATCGATTTTTAGTAGAATTACCAACAATACAAATTATAGTAAAAATGACTTACGATACATTTTATCTGTAGTTGGAGGCATACAATTGCATTCAAAATATTTAGTTGAAGAGATAAAATATTGTTTCGAATATGTAGATTTTGACATTAAATAACCCATAGAGTTTGCTATGTCACTAAACAAAATCAACCAACCAAGAAAAGAAAAAACTTTCATGATATTATTCCATATAATATCCTACAATTTCGTAAAGAAATCAAACTGTTTTCATAAATGTAACTTCAACGAAACAACATAAAACACAAGTTACCACCTCTAGTAATTATGTCCACGCAGACATGTATATGCACAAAAGCTGAGTATCATCTACCATGTATTCAATTGTGGAAGCAGAATAACATATATCATATTTCTATTACTTTAAAGCTCTTAAGAAAATGAAATTTCGGCATTAAATGACCCATAAGGAGTTGGTATGCCGTTAAAAAAAATTAGATCAAATTTTATTTCAACCTTGATATTGTTTATAGATTTGAAAATATCGCTGATGTAAATTACGCCTATTCCAAGAGAATATTAAAAAAAAAACACACACAACTCAACGATCTTCTCATACAATAATTAGCATTAACATCCACGGAACAAGAAAACTTAGCAGCATATTTTCAAAACATAAATTTGTTTACGCTTGATCCCTGAATATTTTAACTACTGTTTAGTTTTATTTAAAGTTCGAACTGCTACTGCATGTGTAGCTGAAGGAGATTTTATTACATTCATCTGCATCCACTCCTCTCCTTCAGCTATTAGGTATATCTGTAATATGATGATATTTAGCATTTTTACGAGCGACAGAGCAAAAGGAAAAGCGAATCCATGCCTTTCTAAAGGGTATTTGGTGTAATGGATAGCGGCTCGGATTGAGGAATGGGAGAGCCGAGTTCGAATTCTAATCGAATCACTTACATTTACTTACGTGCTAATAACCTTGGGGAAGGTATGAATCTTCTTCTTCTCTACCCACCTATGGGTAAATAGCAGGACAAACCTTGGATGGCAACTGGTCTACCGCAGAAAGAAATGGCAAACTACTGGGGGAAAAATCTGCCTTGTCAGTCATGTATTGAAAGATACATGATCGCCTAAGCGTGTATCACGCATGGCACATAACTGACTAAAGCTGTAATTCGAATTCTCTTGATTGTATTTTCCGTTCTCATTTCAAAGAGATAAAAACTCGGGGATACACACACAAATAGGTACAAAGTCTCCCTCTATTGCCAGAACGTTTCGCATCAACCTTACATTTGTTGCTTTTATCTTTTTAAATCATTTCACCCAAGCAAGTCAATAAAGCCACTAAGACTCGAGGAATTACTGAGTGTGAAGGAAGATGAGAAAAAACTACTATTAAGGAGAGTGCGCAATAAAAGAACAAGGATTGAGGAATTAGAAGATAACGATTGATTTAGGATTTAAAATTTTGATGATCAAAATTCACTGGAAAGCAAGAATTGCGAGTGAAGAAACTGTTAGCATAGAACTTACGGTTGCATCTAGCCATCTAAATTGTAAAATGATGATACCGTGCCGCCATTCTAGTACTGCATTTGAATTCATAACGTCTAGATCCCATAGCGTAAAGTTCGTCAGAACAATTACTATGAAATTATTTATAGAAAAGACACAGGGAAGCTACGTTATGACTCTGGAAAAGGGACTGAAGTCGAAATGCCAGGTAAGGACCAATAACATTGCAAATTCTTCTTTGGATTTTATTAAGAATCTCTAAATATATAGGAGCGGCAGATAAAAAAACGAATTGTAATCTTATAAATATGTAAAATAGATTCTGTCGAGAAAGACTGTCTAGAAATTAATTTTATTATATTTAAACATATTATACTTAAAACATTTGAAAAACAGGACGGTAGCCTTAATACATTTACAATGGCGTTTAATTAGAAATATTGAACAAGAACCAACAAGAATATAGATATAAGTAAAATCTTTATGATTTATACGAATCTTGAATCTTTCTGAATTCACCGTTTTGTTGATTTGATATAAAACCGAAAATGGAAAATGAAAAATATCTCACAGTAATTGCAAAACTCCGTGTTTTATGCCGAAGCAATTTTCAAATAAACTTCCAGCACTTGAAAATTGCTTCGGCATGAAACTCAGGGTTCTGTAATTAATGTAAGATATTATGTATATTTCTTTATGTATATGTTAAATAATTCTGTTTCTTAACATTCGGCACTGTTTTTTCTTAAACTATAGAGTATTTATATATATTTGTATAAGATCACTCGCCCATATACCTACCTATATTTACCTATTCGGTTATATATATATATATATATATATATATATATATATATATATATATATATTGAGAATTTTGTTTTCTTATTCTCATAGAAAATGTTTCCCTGTTTTCCTATCCCTATCCACATTTGTATCTATTCTTGTTGCTTTGGTCTACCGACATTTTGCGTTATCGTATATTCATCATCCGCCATTCTTTATAGGCCTAAATCATCCCTATCTTTTTTTATCAAACTTAATGCAAAAAATGATGTTGAACCACTGCTCCAGATTCTGCTCACTCATTTTCATTTAAAGAAGTCGTAAGTTGCAACATGCCAAGATTTGCTCGCGTAACTGAATATTTACCTGAAATATTACCTCAGCGTTACGCTGCTGTCATTCCTGGAATTGAATAGTTCCTCATCTATCTATCTATCTATCTATCTATCTATCTATCTATCTATCTATCTATCTATCTATCGAAAGAAAGAAAGAAAGAAAGAAAGAAAGAAAGAAAGAAACTTGCTTTGGAAATGTTTTTTGAGGTAAAATTTGATTTCAAAATATATTTTTTATTAAATCGTGTGATATAAATAGAACACACAGACAAGGATGAATAGATAGTCAATATGACAAAAATATACATAGCACCAAGCCACGGGGAACGCTGTTTTTTAGTTTCGTTTAGGGTTTGGATACTCTCGATGATGTATTTGACTCAAGAAAACTTTATTTTTACATTTGTAATAAATTTAATTTAATTAATAGAAGTTTAAAGAAAATATCTTATTTCTTTCGGGTTTGCTATATTATTTTATGTTTTCGTTGCACACAAAAGTATATATATATATATGTGTGTGTGTGTGTGTGTGTGTGTGTGTGTGTGTGTGTGTAAACATTGTGATAGACAGAAAGAGAAAGGTAAGATAAATTGATCACTAGATAGCAAAAGCAGACTGCATCAATATACAATCAATATATATATATATGCATCAATATATAGCCTTTATTAATGCAATTTATATAGAGAGGATATATACTTACAGACTTTTGTCTGATGAAGTTAAGCCTTCTCATTTTCGTTTATTTTTATACATGCTCTGATTTTATTCACGTCTTTCTTGTGTTGCACAAAATGTCTGCGTTCTGTTGAACAACTGTTTTCATTGAAGTAATTACGCGTGGCAGTTTTTGTTGCATTTCCTGGTGCAAGAAGAAAATTCATTTGCGTCTAATTTGGAGGAAACTTGTTTATCTTAGGCAGTGTAGCAATCCAGACCTAAAGATTGCTTTCCGGATTGCAGATTCTTGCCGTTAATTAAAAAGACTAGAATTGGCTAAAGGCAGAAAAAGGAAAATAATAATAATAATAATCTCGAAGAAGGAGATTAGATGAAGCGAAAGAATGGAAAATGATTTGTTATTAAAGTTGTTAGAATAAAAATTGGTAAAGAGTTGGATAAAGAAATTCCATGCATTGATGGGAATCACTAAAATGAGAAAGAAATAGAAAAATGTTTTGAATTGGTGATCAACAGTGTGAGTGAGTAAAAGTAAACACTAATGAAAATAAAAATTGTTAGACATGTGGAATAGTGTTTAACAAGTTAGAAACTAAAATCGTTAAATCTTTCGTCTGTTCGACCTTGACTGAGGATGCTGAAAACAAAAATGTCAGATTCAACTTAAAATGGCGCATTTTATTTTTATATTTCCTATGCACAACCCCCATTTTCTAGCTTAGATAGAGTTAACAATCTTTACAAGAAGGAGGAAATATTCCTCACATTTCAGCCTCTTTTCTACAGACCCAACACTGCAATGCTATAGCTACTCCATTCTCTTTCAATTGTAAATGTTCACATGAGCTCCATCCTTTAGTTTCATCAGTTCAGACGTTTACAGCTAGGAAACACCATGACACATATGAGCAGTCGAATCATCTGCATTTCCTCCATTTTACAAAGGTTTTCCAAAGAGTTGCTACTGATCTGAACACTACAAGCTTATGCTCTCCTACTTAAGTTCTGTCTATATTTCTGTGATGACGTATTGTAACTATTTACAATATTTACACTATTTCCGCCAAGGACACAAGACCCAATGGATAAAAGCTTTGGTTGAAGTAATCCAGTAACTTGACCTAATGTGCTGTGAGTTCAATACCTGGCTACAGCAGACGTGAACAATACTTGGAGAGTTGAGTTATGAAAAGGAATTAAGAAAAGGTATGGCATATGGAAATAGAACTAAAACAATCTACCTCCATTGACTAAATAAAGGTTTTGGTTTTAAATTCCAACGTATATCACCTGAAGAAGGCCGGGGTGTTCAACGTCCGAAACGTCATGAATATGACAATAAAAATGAGGACAACAGTCTGAAAAATGTAAATAGTGTCAAATGTCTACGTTTATATGTCCTCCTTATTCCAGTACTTTTCATTACTTACCACCACTTCTTTCATTTGTATCCTACACCTCATTCAGTATCCTTCTACCTTGAGTGCCACTCGAGCATTGTAATGAGCTAATTCAAGTTTAAAAGATCTCATAACCAGAAAAAAATATTAACTACTAAACTAACTAGAATAATTGTCAAGGCCTTTTTTCTGCTTGAGTTTATAGCATATTTCCGGCCAAAATTTGTGATCATCATTGAACTTCAAATGGAAAGTCAGAATTTCAGACATTGATCACCTTATATTCTTATATCGTATTATATAGTGGGTATATTAGATATAGGTCCAGCAGAAGACCAAGTTTTTAAGTTTAATCTTTTGGTTGGTCATATTTGTACCTGAGTGTTATACTTTGCAAATACCTAGAAAATTGCAATGGTAACATAATCTGTGGTGAAAGATGATCGCTTATGTTTTAAATAAACGCATAGAATGAAATAGGGAGCATGTGTGCGTAAAATAAAATATATAGTATATAAATATCAACATGACTACAAGCAAACTAAATTCATAATGAATTTTTCGTGGGAATACTTGCCATAAAGCCATAACTTGTACAAAAACCCTTCAAGCTATAGATTCTGATAAGAAAAAGTTCGCTATATACATGTAAACAGTTAAAGTGAAGTAATATTTTAAAATTATGAAAGAATGAAAGGATAAATTCTCGCAAATTAAGAAAACATCAGGAACAATTTTCTATCCGTTTCATTTTTATTCTTATTCGATGTTAGAACATAAGCTCAGAACCACACCAAGTTAGGTGGTTTCAGTGAAATTTTACAGTACCAGGTTTACAGTACCAGGTTTACAGTACCAGGTTTGAAGATCGACCCCTAAATTGACTGCCTCTTATAGAAGTGGATATTAAAAATCGATTTGGAAATTATCAGAGGAAGGGATTGGAAAATGAAAACTAACGCTGTATATGTCAGACAATGCCAACTTTATATGTACTCAAAAAGATTCGGAATTACTTTATGTTCATATAAACAGCATAAAGAAGGATGGACTCCGTCAGATTATTTTGCTGAAGACTCATCACTACTTCTACGGCTGAAGTTCATAGAGTGCACCCGCGACCTAAATGGGTAAGGAGCCTGAATTGATACGAAACAATCTTAGGAGAGATACAATATTGCAAATAATTTCAGCGCAGAGAAATCCCTCTCGGTAAAATTACAATATAAGTTTTCAAAGTAACCCTGAAAGATATTTATATATGTTTTTCGTATTTGATTTATAAAACTAAAAACACTCAATTTGGTTAAACATTCTTTCTTATTTCTTATTTATTAATAAAATATTCTTTATTTATATATTTAGATTATTAGCATTCAAAATGAATTTTGATGAACATCTTAAGGACTGATGACAAATTTGTAGCTGTCGAGAAGACAATAAGCCAAATGTATTTGATTGTTCAAAATAAACAAACGGAAATTTAAGTCTCTCATTGGCTGGAATAACCACACCCTTTCTCTTTATTCACTTCTCCTTCTCTTAAGCCAATTTCTTCTGTTCTTCTCTTTCACTTTCTCTCTCGTAAGAAATAACAATGGGAAAGGAAAATAAGTAGGAGACAGAGAAGGGTGGTAAGAGGTAAAACAATCAAGTTGGAGACAAAATTATTGGGTCGAAAGAACGAGGCACTCGGTGAAGTGATTGAGGGTCAGGGAGCTTTCCAAATCAAAGGAGGCCCGAGTGAAAAGTAATGGCAAGGAAACTGAACTTTGGTTGCTAAAATTTAGGTGGGGGTTGGATCCTCGGGTATGCGACATAGATGATTGTGGAAGGGCGACAAATGTAAGTGAATTGCATAGATTGAATGAGATGGAACCTGAATTATGGTAAGAGGAGGGGGCCTTGAATTTCAGGTTTCGTGAAAGCCGAGACTATGGCAGTGGGGATATATTTTTAGTGTTTGACGTGACTTCTTCACTGATGATAGAATTATGTTTTAAGGGAGAAATTATACTGATTGGCCACTCAGCTTGTCAGAGATGGGCAAGCAGATTCACTTAAAGGATGCGGATTCTGGATACTCAATATTTACCTTAGCTTTCTTCTGAATCTTTGCAATTTCCACTGCATTCTTCACATTTATTCCTCGTTTTCACCTACTTGCCACTTTTACCTTCGTCAGTTATTCGTTTCTAGGTTGTATTATTCAGTTTTCATTTGTTTTTCAAGTGTTTTTTATTCTCTTTTCTTTATCCCTTGTTTAGTTCTCTACTTATTTGTACTCTGTTGTCTTTTCTCACATTTTGCCTCCAAATTAGCGGATATACGAAAATATGAGTCGAATTTATTAGACATAACACCGTCTAAAAAAGGAGAGGTCGACAATGGAAAAGATTTCGGTAGACTGGAAACAAAATAAATGAAAAAAAATTAAATAAATCTTAGCGTCAAGCATGAAAACTATTTCCCAATTTCTAAACATAAATAAGTTGGGTTATAATAAAATTCTGTCCTAATTGTCTTTAATAGATGTACAGAATTTATGCCCTAAAAAATGCCATATTTTGTCAGAGACTCATCGTCATTTTGTCATAATTTATTGAATTATGAAGAAGTTTGGTGAAAAATCCCTGAAATGATCTACATGTCATAACATATTTGCTTACCAATTTTACGTGATTGTGCGAACAAATTTGAGTCGTTGTCGACGCAGGGCTTACATTTATAACATCCAACGAAAGATTGACCCATATTTATATATTTACATATATAATTCTACATATTTACCTTTGACCACGACAAAAAATGATGCTCCAGTCTGGTTAATGTAATTCCCATAAAACAAAATGTACAGATGAAAAAAACTGAAGCCAAGACAGGAAACGAATTAAGTTTCTTACATGAAAATTAAGATCATTCTTATAATAATAACAGTTACACATGGAACTACTAAAAGCATTAAGAAAGAGCTTTGGAGACTTTAAAATTCTAGGAATTCTTTACATTATCCAAAACTTTGCTGCACCGATAATGAGAAAAGGTTTTGTAGAATTACGCTCACTTAATATCTAACAACCAGTAGACATCTGTTATGTATATTTTTTAAGAAAAAGTGCACTGCGAA